AACTGTGATAAAGAATCTCCTTGTTTTAGACCATTCTGGATAGGAAATTTATCAGACAAATGTTTACATATATATGGACTTCACCATATTATTTTATTATTATATTATTATATTATATTATATTATTATATTATTCATTACATATCATTCACAACTAAAAACAACCACCAAATTGATCTGGACATCAGTTATGCCAACAAATTAATCTGTAAAGTACTTGATACAAAATTCCTTGGAATACATGTAGACAGTACACTGTCTTGGAAAATACATATTGAACAAATTATACCTAAATTAAATGCAGCTTGCTATGCGATGAGATCAATTAAGCCTTTTATGTCACAGGAAACATTGAAGATGGTTTACCATGCCTACTTTCATTCTATTATGAACTATGGATTAATATTTTGGGGGAACTCTTCACATAGTGTAATAATTTTTAAAATACAAAAGAATATAATTAGAATCATTACAGGATGTAGAAGTAGAGATTCATGTAGAGAATTATTTAAGAAATTAAAAATTCTACCTCTTCAATCGCAATACATATTATCGCTTCTCTTATTTGTTGTTTACAACAAAGATAAATTCAAATTAAATTCTGATGTCTATAACATGAATACTAGACAAAAATACAACTTCCACCTACCCTCATCAACTTTATCAGTATATCAAAAAGGAGTCTACTTTACTGGCATAAAAGTGTTCAACAATCTGCCACAAAGTATTAAAAACTTGGGCAATGATACTAAAAAGTTTAAATCAGAGTTAAAGAATTATCTACATGCTCATTCCTTCTACTCTTTAGATGAATACTTCAATGTAAATAGAGAATGATGTAAAATTAAGTTATATTAATTTTTAAGCTAAAATTGCCTGTACTTAAGTATGTAACATTTTGACTTGTTCTGTATCCAAAGGTACTAACCTGCTTAGGATTTATAGAATGTAAATAAATTCAATTCAATTCAATATATTTTGTTTAAACATATTTCAATTGCCTAACTAGTTTCGTGGGTATCCCAAACTCTATCAGAATATTGTACAATACTTTCCTCCTAACTGAATCATAGGCTTTCTTGAAGCCTACGAATAGCTGATGTACTGTCTCATTGTACTCCCATTTTTCTCCAATATCTGATAAATGCAAAAGATCTGATCAGTAGTTGATCTGTTACGTTGAAACCCACACTGATGATCCCAATAATTTCATCTATATATGGACTTAACCTTGGGGGAAGAATATTGGACAAAATCTTGTATGAAGATGATAGCAGTGATATCCCCTGATAATTACTATAGTCAGTTTTATCACCCTTCTTATGAACTGGTATAATAATAGGCTCCTTCCACTGTTCAGGCAAATTTTCTTTATGCCAAATAGAAGTAATTAGCTTATGGAACATGAAACATAATATTTTGTCTCCTGCTTAAATAGGTTCTGCCAGAATTTGATTACTATATGGTAATTTAAACAGTTTCAGTTTTACAATAGCACTTTCAACCTTGAAAGGGCTAGGATCAGGTACTAACGGCTCTACTGTATGTATTTTTATCTGCCTAACATCACTGACCCTGTGTACATTCAATAACTGAGAGAAGTGATTCTTCCACCTATTCGAAACTGGAACTCTTACTTCATTCCTGACTTCACAGAAATTGCCACACTAAATGAAAACTACATTTTTAAGATGTATATACTACCCAGAATAATAGGAACAATTTTAGCAATCTCTGCCACCACACACAGAGAACTTCTGAAAACAAGATTAATTGGATTTCTATGCCACATCTTATATGGCTAAGATCTCTGTGTGTGATAGATTAAAGGGAAATGGTGAAGAGATTTACTGCTTGAACTAGCTTACAAAATTCCTACGATGGGTAAATAATGAAACAAAGGAAATTATTTGAATAAAATAAGACAGTATTTCCTCCATAAAAGTTATTATTGCACAACTGAAAATCTATTAGGAGAAAGAATGCTAAAAGAGAGATTTCTCTCAACACCAACAGAAATTACACTGCTTCATTCTTTGTCAACTTTGGAGTTTGAACAAAGTGAATCTGTTTTCTGATAACTCCACTAGGAACCCTCTTCATAAGCTAAAAGACATGACTCTCATCCTCTTAATGATGAAATAAGAAGATATGTAAATTTCCAGTATGATAATAATGCTGGCTTGAATGTGTATCAAATGATGACGTTTGTAACAGAATGAATGAATGTATAAGGAGTGGGCCTTCTTGGCCCTTGCACGGCGACCACAGTGATCTATTGTGCCTCCTCTTCCGATTATCCCCTTCTGATTATCCCCTCAGCAATCATGTGCTTCAAATGAAGCACAGAATTCTGTACGTGGAGATGTTGAAATAGTCACTTGGTTCCATAAAATGCTGACCCAAGTGACGTAATCTTAAATGAGCTAAGGCCTCACGTTCAAACAAGATGTGTGTGGCTGTTTCATATTCTTCTTGATACCTCTCACAAGTTGGACTATTACTTTGTCCCAGTTTGAAGAGGTGTCCTTTAAGGTGACAGACTTAAGATGACTCCACCAAGTACTAACAGAATTTCTGTTACCTTGAATAGCAGGATATCCGCACAATATTTGGGCATTGGTCCCACTAGGGCAGAAAGATATAATTGATCCAAAGCAGCTTAAATATTAAAGAGAAAGATGGATTCTGTGTAATGGTACATAGTTTTTCATGAATAATAGTGGCAAATAAATAAAAATGCAAAACAACAAATTCTATAGCATAAACAGTGTACAGAATATATGATCCAAGTGTGAACTCATAATGAAATTGAAATCATTAGGCTTATAAACAAAAATATTTCTTTAAAAGAAATCAACTATTTTCAAAATCAGAGCAGAAGTATAAGTTTGGTGACTCTGAAAACATAGTACAACTTTATAGTACCATATGACAGCTTATATTAAAGCCCATTAAAAAAACTTGGAAATTATACCTCACTGTATCTTTGATATGCTTAAAAATACAGGCAGTTAAAGATTACTTAGTGGATGAATGTTTGTTCACTTTTAACAGTTTTAAACTACTGTATCTCTAACACCACTGGTTCAAAAATTTACAAATGTACACTTTTGTTTACAGCAGTGGTCAAGTGGTCAAGGACCCAAAGACATACAATTTACAGACCACGTTCTAATTCTTGTTCAGACACAAGCTTGCATTGTATTTGAATATGAATGGGACATGAAAGGATTGGGAATTAAAGTAAAAGGTGAACTTCAAATATACCTGTGTAAGATTTGAGGCTTTCACGGCGGTGACTATGAAGAAAGCAGTCTTCTGGGATTTGACCGCATATACACGGTGCCAAATCCCAGAAGACTGCTTTCTTCAAATATACCTATTTTATTACAAATGGCATCAGGGCCATGAAGCAAATCTACCTCTAATAATTCTGCCTTGGCTGGGTTCTACAAACTTCAAAAGCTGAAGAATTAAATTTTTAGCTTAATTAATTTCACACAGGGTGTTCTACAAGCAACTTAACATTCAACCTCTGAAGCTGTAAAGGCATAGTTAAATAACCAAGAAACAAATTATTCATCTGTGGGAACTGCCCACATTTAAGCAAACGTTACAGTGACAATGCAAGTATCATTGCTTAGCAACAGCAAAGTAAACAGCCATTGATAAGCAAAGCCTACAACAGTACGGACAGTGACGTGTTTTCTACGCAGTCCAACACAATGTTTCAGAAGAGGAAGATATAGTGATAGTGTGGAGGGGTCAGAGACTACCCCGTGTGGAGCCAGGATCAAATATACCTCCACCGTGACCCTGCGAGTCGTAGGAGGCAAAGAAAAGGGAAGTCTCAAATGTGAGACAGTAAAATATGGTCGCAAGTCCCAAAGGACTAGGACCCGAGAAACACTGTGCTGGCAAGGGCCAGCAGCATATACAAAAGACAGACTCACCCTCTTGTCAGAGAGGACGCTCCAAAGAAACAAGGCTGTAACAATCGAGGAGCAATAAGTATCTGGTCATGAGCCCCAGGAGGGTGCTCGATACCAAGCCTTACTGACTGACTGACTGATTGTCAGTCGCAATATGAGTTTGACTTTGACTTTGACTTTGACTAGTGTGGAGGCGGATGACAGATGTATGTATGTATGCATGCATGCATGCATGTATGTATAGTCTCACATCTGAGACAGTAAATTATGGTCGTGAGTCCCAAGGGACTTGGACCTGAGAAAGACTGCGCTGGCAAAGGCCAGCAGCATATACAGAAAGGGCGCCCTACAAAAACTAAACCGTAAGTGTGCAACAGTAATAAATATCTGGTCATGAGCCCAAGATGGTGCTCAACACCAAGACTTACTGACTTATAGACCATCAGTCGCACTGTGTCTTGGACTTGGAGTGTGGAGGAGGAGTCAAATACCTCCACCGTGACCCTGCGAGTCGTAGGAGGCGACGAAAAGGAAAGTCTGAAATCTGAGATAGTGAAATATGGTCGCGAGTCCCTAGGGACTCGGACCCGAGAAAGACTGCGCTGGCGAGGGCCAGCAGCATACACAAAAGACAGACCCATCCTCTCGTCAGAGAGGGCGCCCAACAAAAACAAAACCGTAACTGTCAAACAGTAATAAGTATCTGGCCATGGACTCCAAATGGGGCTCGACACCAAGACTTACTGACTGACTGACCGTCGGTCACAATGTGACTCTAACTTTGACTACTAAGAGGAAAGAGTGGTGTGGGTGTTGCAAGCAGTAATATTATTAGTACCATACTATTAGTCTTCAATTCTTCAAACCGAAGGGCGTCTGTGTACTGTGCAACTATAATAAATATTTACGGAACAATGCAGCAAGTGGTTCTCTCTTCATACATCGACATCCCACACATCATTCAAAATACCCGCTTGGATCTCACTGCCATCCTAACTATCAAGTGATCGCAAGAGGTGACGAATACTGATTGTGCTGCCACCTAGTGAACGAAATACGAAACAAGATTTCGATCACATCGTGTTTTATTGCAGTGTAGGGTATGTAATGGTGGAAATGTTCGGTTAATTAAGCCGAAACTGAGCATTCACATAGGTACTGTGTTGTTGAACTGTTTTAAATTAGTGGCCAACTATCTATGGAAATATATCAATTACCAGATCTTGTATACTGTTTGTACTATACGTTTTGAAATTGGATTCAAAATAGCGTTTCATCATGTGCTCATGGTTCTGTGTTATGGCCTGTAGAATGATGCAAGATAATTAGACTTCAGAATTCGCAAGTTGGCCATTTTTAATTGTTAATAACGTTGAGTTTATATTAACTCGATGTACTATACATCGTTTGGAGATTTTTTTTTCAATTTGCATTAAAGTGGGTGGATGCCATATATGCGATTCGTACATAACCTTAACCATACTAACTTGCATTGTGATTTGATTACAGGCATTAACCTTCATAAATTATAAATATGGAGGAATATGCCCGTGAGCCGTGCCCATGGCGTATTGTGGATGACTGTGGAGGTGCATTTACAATGGGTGCCATTGGAGGTGCAATATTCCAGGGTATAAAGGGCTTCCGAAATGCACCAAGTGGAATGAACCGTCGTTTTATCGGTAGTTTAGCGGCCATTAAACAGCGTTCACCAATAATCGCAGGCAACTTTGCAATATGGGGAGGAATGTTTTCAACTATCGACTGTACCTTGGTACATTTCCGAAGGAAAGAGGACCCTTGGAATTCTATAATCAGTGGTGCAGCCACTGGCGGTATTTTAGCAGCAAGGAATGGGCTGCCAGCAATGGCAGGTAGTGCTTTAATTGGAGGTGTTCTCTTAGCGCTTATTGAGGGTGTAGGAATATTGTTCACACGACTTTCTGCAGAGCAGTTCAAGCCAGCAAATCCAGTCCTGGAAGATCCTTCCCAGTTAGGACCACCACCACCTGGTTTCCCCCATCAGCAACCTAATTATTAATGCATATTGGACAATTTTTAGTAACGAAATTACAGACACAACTAGATGTCAGTGCAAGGAATGAAGTTTACAGTGTATATATTTGCAGAAATAAAGTTATGTTCTCCAATTTCCATGAATAGTGTTAAATTTGATGATATTTTTGTTTCATTTCACTTTGCATAACATATAAAGTTGTCAGTGGTATGTTCAACATTTTAAATTATGTACTGTAAAATTAATGTTCAATCTGATACCCAGCATTTAATTTATACAATTTAGCTTAATAAATTATAAAAATATTTACATACTCTTAATATAATTGTGTAAAATACATCAGCCTTTTTACATATTCTTTCATCCAACTTGATATTTAAAATTTGTAGTTGGAGAGATCTCATGCTAATATTTCTTTGCATAGACACTTTAAGCATGAAAACACTGAAAGCTTAAAAATAAACAGCATTATTATTATTATTATTATTATTATTATTACAATTGTATAATTATATTGTCAAGATAAAATTGGTCAAATTTAATTTTAGTTTTCAGCCTGCCAGTTTAACTGTTGGGCAAATAACGTGTAAAGTTAGTATCCATTGTCTAGGATTTATACCAGTAACAAGACATATCAGAAGAACTTTCTGCTTCCATCTCCAGGCAGGTCCCAGTCTGATAGGCCCATTTTAGTGAACATATCATAGATGGAAGCAGACCAGTTTCTGAAGTATTGTGTTTGTAATATATTACATGACATGTAGTAGACAGGTGTTGGAATGATGCTTAGATGTACTCAACACTTGGCTGGAGCAAGGTCAGTATAGAATCCCATCACAAAGGCCTGTCTAATGGACATGTATATTTACAGTTATTGACCTTGTTCATCCTGGGGGCTCACACTGGCATAGTATAAAAGATTATTAATGCCATCCAGTGTGATTGATAAATGTTTCATTTTTTAATCTTTCATCCTTTATGTGTTTTGATCATAGCGACCATCTTCAGAAGGACATTGGCAGTACATAACAGAAACTACTATTACAATTTCATAGATATAAAATATTATCCTGTAACAGCTACTACAATGTGCACAAATTTGTTAAAACATTTATAACTTATTATTATAATTAGTCAATTTACAAAGCATTGTTTAAAAAACTTTGTTAATAGACTAATTGTAATAATTTATATATAAATGTTTTAACAAATTCATGCACATCGTAGTAGCTGTTACAGGATAATATTTTATATCTGACATTGAAGTAAATACAGATGAGAAAGGACCATATATTTTACAAAGTGAGGTGGAAAAAGCTATCAAGGACATGAGGAATGGAAAGGCTACAGGAGACGACGATGATGATAGATACTTTATAGACTGACAGAAGGCATTTGACTGTGTAAATTGGACCAAATTAATGCAGATCCTGAAGGAAACAGGTATCAATTGGCGGGAAAGAAGATTGATTAGTAAATTGTATCTGGATCAGAAAGTTAGAATGCGACTGGACAGAGGGGAGACAAGAAGTGTGAAGATTGGAAGACGAGTTCGACAAGGATGCTGTTTATCACCAATTTTCTTCAACTGGTACAGCGAATGCCTTACCAAGGAAGCTCTGGATGGGCTTGGAGACTTCAAATTAGGAGGGCAAATTATTCAAACTGTGAAATATGCAGATGACCTTGTGTTAATGGCTAAGGAAGAAACTGTGCTATGGGGTATGATTGATAGACTAATCGAAATTGGAAGGTGCTATGGTATGGAAATGAATGTGGAAAAAACAAAAGTAATGAAAATTTCGAGACAACCAACCCCAGTCATAATAAAGATAGACCAGAAACAACTGGAGAATGTGAAATGTTTTAAAAATTTGGGTAGCTTGTTAACAGATGATGGAAGGTCTACTTGTGAAATTAAATCTAGGATTGCCATGGCAAAAGCTGCATTTAGCAAGAAGAATCTTTTTACCAGCAAATTGGACTTAAATTTGAGAAAGAAACTAGTGAAATGCTACATTTGGAGCATGGCTTTGTATGGGGCTGAAACTTGGACACTTAGGGCAGTAGATCAGAAACACCTGGAAAGCTTCGAAATGTGGCGTTGGAGAAGGATGGAGAAGATCAGTTGGACCAATTATGTGAGAAATGAAGAAGTGTTATTTAGAGTCAGTGAGCAGAGGAATATCCTACACGAAATAAGAAAACGGAAGGCTAATTGGATTGGTCATATCTTACGCAGTAACTGCCTTCTAAAAGAAGTTATTGAAGGAAAGATAGAGGGGCGGATAGAAGTGACCAGAAGACGAGGAAGAAGACGTAAGAAGATGCTGGATGACCTTGGGGACAGAAGAGGATATTCTCATTTGAAGGAGAAAGCTCTAGATCACATTAAGTGGAGGAACTGTTTTGGAAGAGACTGTGGACCTGTCGTGTTGACAAATTAGTGATGAATGAATGAATGAATGAATTGTAATGGTAGTTTCTGTATGTACTGATAATGACCAGTGACATTGTAATAGTAGTTTCCATATGTATTGATAATGTCCTCCTGAAGATGGTCTATATGACCAAAGCTTGTAAAGGATGAAAGAATTAAAAAACACGAACATTTATTAATCACACTGGATGGCATTAATATTTTTTTTTACCAGTTATCTGTTTCTGATAACTGGGCATGCGACTCACTATGCTCCAGAATTGTACCTATGTATTGCACTGTGATGAAAGGGTTTTGATACCTTTATTTCTTTAGATAACCACCCTCCAATTCCATATATTCTTTCATCATAATGAACTTTGTAAACCAAGCAGCAAGCAAGTCTTTCAAAGCCTCCATATGAAATGCTAGACTTGCTTATTGTATTGAGACTCAGAGTTTCCCAACGTTCTGTACATGAACTAATTTTCCACTTGTCATATTAGACACAAAATCTGTTTGTATCCAGTCACTAGACATCAAGACCAGGGTATGATTAGAAGGGATCTATATTTTAGCCTATGAATTGATTGTGGTCTGGAAAGCCATAGTCTGATATCTGTATGGACACTGATTTTTGTTTTTTAATATCTGTATCCAGAATGGTCATGGTACTTCCCAGCCAGTGGATACAAGGTGTTCTTTCCCCCATGTGTGTGTGTGCACATGCATGATACATGTACACATAGCTACGGTGATTCATTTTTATAAAATTAGATGTAAAGTTTTGTTTTGCTTCACAAAAATGAAGGTTTATATTGACCAAAAATGAAATTTCTCTTTTACATTTCATGGTAGACCCTCAGTACCAAACTTCCTTGAAATTCCTTAAGTTGTTTCAGACATGAAATGTGCAGGAGGATATACTGACATATCCTCCCTGTGATGCACATAAGGAGAATAAGTTCGCTGTTCACAGGGCTCGGGTGTATTATGACACAGTTAAGAGAGAAGTAATCTTTGAAGTCAGAATCCCAAAATACATTTTTAGGTTAATTGAAATGTGCATGAGTTGAGGTAAATATTCCTTTGAATTGTTATCACTTAGCAACACCAGGAAAGTTCAAAGGAATTAATCTTGAAGAGCTTGAATAAATTGCTTGACTCTGGTACTTGCATGTACTGAAGACATAATTTATTAATGTTGTAATGTAAACACTTCAGTACTGTATCTGGGAACTGCTGTTAAGGGGGGAAGGACAAATTTACCCACCATACTTCCATTTGTACAATAGTATCTCGCCCACCACCTACTCAGTAGACAACTTATATAGACTCGATAAACCCTCGAGACTTCATCCAAACTATTGCATTTGCATTAGTGGTTAATAAAACAATTTGTTTGATTTAGTTTTTTCGTCATCAGAACTATACGAATATCAAGATTTTGGGCCACTGGGGATTTTATAAAAGAATCTGTGATGAAACGATATTAGTAATGTCATGCAGGGTTGTGTGAAATTGTGTGAACAAGGTAAACTGTTCCCTCTTATTACTAGCCTCATTAAAGAACTTCTTTCTATACTTGCACAATTAGAAGTACACTCCAGAGAAGAAAAAGGGCAGGTAATCTGTGAGAAAGTATGTTATCACTACAGAAAAGACCACTGAAGAAGAAAGCAAGGTTAACAGATTTGATTGAACAACATCTGTTGCAGTGGAGAGCCTGGTCACAGTACAAACAACTGCTTTCTGTGATGTGACAGAAAGTCTGTGTCAAAATAACATTCTTGTTTTGTTTTACATCATATAAGTTTAATATGTTATATTTTAGCGTCCTGTTGCACTGATTTAAGTCCATGATTTATTTAAACCGTCTTGCAGTGCATACACTCATTTATCTCCTTCTCTCCCTCGCACTACATGTTTCGGCATAATAATGCCATCTTCAGGTGCTTACTTATCCACGCCAAACTAGTTCATTGCATGCCTTGTCCTCATATTAAAATAACTAAAATATGTATCTATCATATACATTGTCAAACGTTAAAAATATTAAAATTGTTCAGGATACCACATCACTACGTCGCACCTCACTACACCAGTCACGCCCATTCTCCTCTGTTGGAGCACTCCTTCACTATCATGTGTGTGTTGTGCTTTTGTTGTGTCTTGCTCCTGTGACTGCGTGTGTTATACTGTTGGGCCTGCTGGGTATGTGTGTATGACACATACCCAGCATACAATGTATATGATAGATACATATTTTAGTTATTTTAATATGAGGACAAGGCATGCAATGAACTAGTTTGGCGTGGATAAGTAAGCACCTGAAGATGGCATTATTATGCCGAAACATGTAGTGCGAGGGAGAGAAGGAGATAAATGAGTGTATGCACTGCAAGACGGTTTAAATAAATCATAAGTTTAATATATAATTTGTTTCTTGTGATTTAACTTTAATTACTTATCCATATAGTTGACTATTTTTGTTTGTGCTGTATTACCAGCAGTGAATATGCAGAGGGTAATTTACAACCACTGAAATAATTAAAGTTTTAAAATTTATCAGAAAATATGCCAGAGAAACTGTTTATTGTGTAAATTAAATGGACAGCTTTAATAAATGTGGTTCATTTAAATCCTTGAGAGAAGTGACAAGGTCAGTCATGTGAAGCTAAGGCCAAATGTGACCACTGCAAAATCAACACTCCATATTTGAGCGGTCGAAGGTACAAGTCAGCCTGGAGATTGCCCTGTGTGTTTTCATGGTTTTCCTTGGACTCCAGTAAAATGCCAGAATGGTGCTAAATAACAGACCACAACCATTCCACGTTCTTTCAAGTTCATTGTTCACTGAACACTAAAATATTGAAAGCATAAATAATAATAATAATAATAATTTATATGTAAACCACAAATAAATACTTAGGTTCATGAGCAGGGGCTTCTAGATGAGTTTGTGATCATCAGAGCAAAATAAGTAGAATGCATGTAGCTATTCATTGCTCATGATAGGCCCTACATCCTCATTTTGATTAATTTGATGGACTCATTCGTTATGTCAACTGCACAGGTTATGTGGTGTAAGAAATGTCAAAATATGACGTAAGGCAGCAGCCTAAGATCGACATTTCCATGAGGGGCTGAGGAAAACTATGAAGACAATCAAGGAAACTGCTAGCCTGCCAACATTCCAGCCAAGACCCACCACCCCGCAATGTATGTTTACAGTATCGTGACCAGCTTAGGTAGGTTATGACGGCTATGACTGTTTGGGTTTAGGGTTAGCTACTGCTAGTAAATAAAACCCAACTTCCGTGACGTAATACGTAGTAGGATAAAACAAGCTGGACTGCAATATTGTTAGTTTGAATAATGTAGGCCTAAATAGAACTCAATTCAACTGCAGGTATGGTTGGTGATCTTATCGTAAAATTGTTCACTACTGATACGAATTAATCCATTTACATGGTCGGAATGCTGCGAAGGTCTCTTCTTCCGAATTTTGAGAGGACGCGGTAGAAGACAAATTACTATCCTACAGGGAAAATGACCGTGTTCACTCCCAGTATATATATCATGCCAAGATTCCACATGGCACAATACTCCTTTGGCTCCATTGCGTTTATTAATCACGAGACCAGAATGAAACATATTCTTTCGAACCCCAAGGAATTCTGTGTGTGCAACCATTCCTAACTGCATACCGGTATGTGTAGATACAGTCGTTCACAGTTAACGTTTCGCATTCTTAAGCCTGTCATTTGAAGCGAATTCTATTGACAGGCTGTCACTACCATCCTCCTCCCGCCAAAAAAAAAAAAAAAAAAAAAAAGCCAGTCGGGAGGACATGCACATTACTTTTAATGAGATATTGCGATAAAGTACCCTGTGTAAGATTTGAGGCTTACACGGCGGTGACTATGAAGAAATCAGTTTTCTGGGATCGCATCNTCCCCCCCCACACTACTGTTTTCACTTGTATACTTGCCCTTCCCCCCTTCCTTCTCTGCTCAAACATAGCTGTGTATATTTCCAACACAGTCTGCTTTTACCGGTTCTCACGGTCTCTTCGCTTGCAGATTTCTTATATTTTTTCTTCTACCCTGAAGATGGAGGCGATACGTTCCTCCGAAACGTCGGTTAACACCACATATACACGGTGCCAAATCCCAGAAAACTGCTTTCTTCAAAGTACCCTTTACTTGAATTTTGACAATATTTTTATTCTTCCCTGTAAAAGTTTCACAGTCACTTGCGGGTTCAGTACTTTTCTTGCTTTACTGCTACTTCTGAAAAGTGTAACTGTTTCTCTCCTTATTCTCCTTCTTGATCTATGGATTAGGCCTAATAATATTCGAACAATGGGACAGTAATGATATGTAAAACAAACAGGTCATATAGAATGCTAACTGAGAGAGAGGATGTACAATTTATGTAGGTCATTAAGACGATGGACGGATTAATTATAAAAATTGTGCAGTCGTAAAAGGTCATGAGACATTTCCGTGAAAATGTAGACTTGCTTACTTACTCATGGAGCTGAGCCCTTCTGGAGGAGCCGCCAATTCTGCAGCTACTCAAGAATTTCCCAGCATTTTATGGAACCCGAAGGTTCATCGCCGTGTTCACAAGAGCCCTCCACTGGTTCCTATCCTGAGCCAGATCTAATTAGAGTGACAATGTAGAACAGCAATTTAAATTATATTGGATATAAGGTCCAGGCGGCTGTTAGTACGAAGAATACTGTCTGTTGGGATGTGGCGCCCTTTAGTCTGATGGAATTTTACCGACGTTTCGGAGGAATGTCCCGTCTCCGTCTATAAGGATTAAAAATAAGCCATAGCAAACAGGGAGCAAGCGTTCCGTTTCTACCACACTCCATGGCGTCACACTCAAATTGTTATTATATGACATACATCTCTTATAGGCCTATTAGACCTACACCAGCAATTTAATGAATGTACACGTGTATGTTCAAGGCGTTTATGACGATCTCTGTTAAACGTTACTGCAAACATCCGATTTCTCAAGCACGTAGAAATTCGTGTACAATACATAGGCCTATTAATTTACGATCTGTTCATTTCAAGTTTTAAAGGGAAACAGTTTTCCATTGTTATTTGAAGTTGCAGATCTATGTATTGTAATTTACGTTCAATCTCTAATGCAAGCTGCGATGTTAAAATGTTTTCTGTCTGAGGAATACTGTAAAATACTGCGCATTGTGAAATGAACTCAAGGAAGTGGTCCCGAACTCTTGAAGAGTAATTTTAGATTGTGACCAAAAATAGCATCCTGTGTACGAGAGGGTAGGAAACCTGAAGTGCAGTTGCCACGAGGGGTTCTAGCGAGCCACGCGTTTTACACATTATATTAACCGTACAATTACAGCACCTCTGTAGAGTCCATATTTAAATATACTGAAGTTTTGTTTTCACTTTGTCGTATAGACCAGCCCCAATATGTACAGAAGAATTATTAGTTTCTTCGGGGGTAAGTATCGACTTTAAATTGTTTATTTTAAAGAATTCGATTTTGCTTCGTTAAACTTATGTGAAAACACATTTCGTAATAAAATATTTAATGCTGTAATCCCCTTTCTTTGACCCTCGGTGACTCACAAAGGTAGATTATAATCTAGTTTGTAAGTTACACATCTCATGGAGTAAGCATCATTTGTGGTAATCCGAAACTTAAACCAATTTACTTTGTTTTATAAGTATTAAAATTTCGAGAAAAATTCAGTCGTCATGCATATATAAAACGTTTCTTGGGAAATAAAGTTTAATTAGTACCCTAAGATTACTAATGTTTTGCAGAGACTAAGGGGCTATTCTCTGCAGCATTGCAACACGCCTCTAGCCGAACATCAAAAGCAGAAGCCTAGAAAGGACTTAACGGTTGTCTCTATCATCAGTCATTATGAACAAATGATATTAACGGTGTTCTGGTTTCCTTAGGTGCCACGTCTGAGAATTCAGAAGATAAAAGCGAAGAACTGGCTCAGACGAAAAATGACGAAATGACCGGAAGTGGCAAAACTTTGCACAGCGGAAGTCAAGTGGCTAACACCATGTCAGATGGGGAGCAAAGGGCACTGCACAGTCGCATTGAAAGTCTGGAACACGAATTAAAGGTACGATTCGATAAAGTGACATGGGCCGGAATTTAGAGAAATTCTTTTTATCTGAAAAATCTGTGCTTTATTATTATCAATATTATATCGTCGATTCTAAATGGTTCTGACGATGGTGGATGTCACACAGAATTACTGGGGTTTTTTATCTTTATCCATCTCCGGAATTCTAGGTAATAGTGGACACGACGTTTCGGAAACTGGATCTGTTTCCATCTTCAGGTGAGAAAGGAAGATACCTACTCAGTTGGGCCTCTTAGAAAGAGCTAATCTCAATCAGTCCAGTGGACTCACCTGAAGACGGAAACAGATCCAGTTTCCGAAACGTCGTGTCCTTTATTACCTAGAATTCCGGACGATGGAAAAAGTCCAAAAACTCAGTAATTCTGTGTATTATATTCTCGGCAACTTACAGTTTTGCTTCCACGCATAATGCAGTCTTTAAATTCGGATGCTGAAGGCAAAAGTGACAAATTAACCGAGATACCAAATACCTGCTCCCTACCAAAACGCTATGAAGCAAACGCTGCCAGTCTTCCCACCAACATTCTCATTACAGAGGCAGAGAAGCAGGAAGTTTGGTAGTGGAAATGAGAATCTTTTGCCACTAGATTCTTATATTTTGCTGTGGTTGGGAAATGCTCAGACACATAAGATATGCATATTTTCCCATTCATCACCGAATCTTCTAAGGAAATTTTTTCGGGGAGGTGGAAAATTCCGTCACCCAAGACTTTTTTTGGAGGGGTTAAAAGTTCAACCCCCCCCCCCCAATACAGTCATTATGTAATCAAAAGAGTGAGCTTAATTTTCTGTTGAATTTATGTAGTTTTCGAAATAAAATTAATCGGCGTCATACCTGGATAACTGAATGAGACCAATTAATTCTGAAATCTTCAATTAACGTTATTCAGATAAATTTCGTCATATATCCTGATATTAATAACAATTCTAATGTTTATCGAGGGGCACGAGGTAGGGTACTTGGTTGAGGCACTATGCTATAAACAGGAAGGTCGTGGGTTGGATTCCCGAGGTAGTTACTGGGTTTTTAATTGACCTAACCGTTCCAGCCGCACTATGGCCCTGGGGTCGACTCAGCCTCTAACAGAAAATGAGTTCCAGGAATCTTCCTGGGTATAAAGGGCGGCGCTTAAGGCTGACAACCTCACCGCCATCTATGAGCCGATTATCTAGAAAAACGTCTCACAACCCTATGCGCCTCCACGGCCTGTTATAGGAATAGTCAAAGGTCTGGAGCTGAACAGATTAGTGAAATAGGACTGAGAAAGGAATATGTACCCTGAAGAGAAATATGTTCATTAACAGTTACTAAAGCACAGCAGATGCTCTTTGTAGCTGTGGCACATGTTGAAGGACTGAATCTTGAAACATTAAAAGTAAAAGTAAAGGTATCCCTGTAACAAGCCGTGGAGGCCCCCAGGGTTGTGAGATGTTGGGGTCCCACATTTTTTAGACAATCGGCTCATAAATGGTGGTAAGGTTGTCAGCCGTATGCGCCGGCCACCCTTTATCCCCAAGAATATTCCAAGAATATTCCTGGTACTCATTTCTGTTGGAGGCTGAGTCGAACCCAGGGTCACAATGTGGCTGAAAGGATTAGGTCAATTGAAAAAATCCAATAACCTCATCAGGATTCGATCCCGCGACCTTCCGGCTTGTAGCATAGTGCCTCAACCAACTACGCTATTGCGTACCCCCTGAGTCTTGAAACATTAATAGGGATAACTGTTACAGTGTTTCTTATTGGGTACACGGAGACCCACTTATGCATAATAGAACAACAGTTAATTTTGTCCTTGAAAACGTTATTCATTGAAATGTTCTAAAATTTAAATTTTTCAAAACTGAACCACAATTACGAGGAAAATCAACCTCAATAAGTAGAATGTAAAACAAATTTGCAAACTTTCTTTGTATATTTTACAGCTTATTAGAATCTTTGGAAGTAAGATTATTCCATGAGACAGAAGTATATGGAAGCTTTGATCCAATGAAGTCATTATATGAAACTATTAGGCCATCGAGAGAAGAACAGCTAAACGTAATGAAGCAACTGTATTGCACAAGAAATGTAGTCAACATTACGGTCAATACATGTATACAGTTTATCATTAACATAATATCAACATTTTATCTAGCAGGTTGGTCTAGGAGTAATGATTTGGAGCTGTATTTGGAAATTGCTTGATTCAGATCTTATCATGACACTGGCTATTGACTGAGGTTATTTGTGGTTTTCCTCAGTCCCTCCAGGCAAACTGTGGGACAATGCCTCAATTAGGCTACAACATTTTCCTTCCAAATCCTTTGCACTTTGTCGTTCATATATCCTATCATTCAGTGCTAGTCTAGCTACTGGAAGCCTTGTAAGATAAGACATGAAAAGGACAAGATCTTTCACACAATCAGTACATACTATGATTGAAACATCACTGACAACATAAACAAAAACTATCGAAAGGGTAGAATAATAACCAGTATCAATTAGTGCCCTTTAAATTAAAATATAGAAGGTAAAAGAAAAAGCTAAAGTTATCCCTGTGCCTAATGAATTAATCATCATGCCACAAAAACATGTGAGAGTGTGGGGGTATAGCTCCACCATTCTTAACCTTAGCATTAGATGAAGGTGAGTGATCACCTTCACACCCCAAACATGGATTTCGGTTTACAAACTGCATTAACAGTAGAAGCACAACCAACTGAAGGACAGTGAAGCAGAAACACTAGTTGCTTGTTTCTATGGCTTAGGAGAAGTATTTTGAGATAAGCTTAAACAACGAAACTGTCATCCTTCAAGAACATCCTGGCAGTGCTCCTGTAATGATATCCATTTAGAAATGTTGAGTACAATTAGACAGAATATTTTTCCAAAATTACTTATATAAGTAACAGTGCAGTCAGTATAGCAACTGGCTACAGGCTGGACAACCAAGAGGTCGGAGTTCGAGTCCCAGTAGGGTCAAGAATTTTAATTTCTCCATGTTGTCTAGATCGGCTCTGGGGTTCACCAAACCTCCTATACAGTGGGTACTGGGGGTAAAATGCCCAGGACATGAAGCTGACCACTCACCTCCAACTAGTGCAGAGGTCAAGAAAATGTGGATCTATACATACACTCCCCCATACATGTTCAAGGCATAGTGCTTAATTAGTCAAGCACAGGGACAACTTTTTCACCTTTTACTTGTGCAAGTATCTTCAAATTATTTCAAAGATTCCAGTGTATATTATGGCAGACACTGGGTACACATTTAGGCAAAATTGTCTGAAAACACTGCCGACAGAAATTTGTTACAAATATAAGCTCTCTACAGCAAGTAATTCACAAAACACATACTACAATTTCATGAATCCTAGATGATAATTTATGATCTCCACATTCATAATCAAGGCTGATTTCCTAGTATGCAATATCAGTTGTCAAGTGCTAATGTACATAGAACCTTTATGCTGTGGAAACTTAATGCAACAAATTTAATTTTAGGTGATTTTAAAAAACAAACAATCGAAGAAGCACATACTAGTTTTTTCCATGTCTGACTTGATAGAAGCAATGGCCAAACTACAGAACTGATTTGGATGAAACTTGGCATGGTAAACCTATACAAAATTTTAAGCCAAAGGACTTCTTTATGTACTTTAATAACCTAAATAAATTTTCATGTATATTTTTAAGACCTTCCACAGACTGATTAAACATGATATGCAGCGCTTATAGTATTAGAATGTTACTACATTTGAGTTTCCTGTACTTAATTACTTTTTATTCATTTTAAGGACAATTATACTCATGGATCTAAATTAATTTTTGCACATATTCTGAGCTCTAGAATAGATTTTGATAACACTAAGTATATATCATATCTGCTATAGAAGCACTGTCATGTTTTTTATAACTTTAATTAATTTTAGAGCCAAGAATGTAAGAACTTAAATATATTTTTGGAAACAACTCACTTAAGTATCCGCTTAAAATAAAAAGGTCTTCAACAGCAGTTGCTGGTAGGCCCTAGCAACAAAGTACACGTTTGTTGTTATAACAATATGTGCACAAAGAATTCTTCTTGTGAGAAAATCACTGTCACAGCAGTACTGTTCAGAATTCTGTGATAATACAGATTTGCATAAGACAAGTGTCAGCATAAGTGTAAGGCATTTTCCTCATGTCATTGCCAAGGGTGCATTTTCCTATTCCTGTTCTGAAGAGGTTGAAAGAAGACAAATAATCACCCACCATAATAAGGTCAATCAAAAGGTATGGAAGAGAGTAAGAGCATGACAGACAGCCTGGTACCTTTTGCACAACTCAACTGTAGATGTGAAGTTAAGATCTGAGACATTCAGGGACTTTAGCATAAAAGGCGACAGGTAGCCAGTTTAACTGTCTTACAATATTTATTCCTGCTTAGTAAGTCAAAAGTGAAGATTAACTTATCTACATATTTTCTCATTTGTTGCCATCTATATTATGCATAAGTATCTCTTGTATAAAGGTTCGTACTGAAGAAAGTGAGAATTACAAGAACAGACTTCAGCTTGCAGAGAAGGAACTGGAAATTCTGAGAACAGCTGCTGTTCCTTCACCAATCAGCAAGGTGACCATTGGGGTAGGAGATGGAGTTGTGGATGATACTGAGGACAACATTCATGAACGAGAACCATCTGCTAACATGGAAGAGCTGCTGGATGAGAATGCTGAACTGCATGAAGCGCTAACCAAAGCTAGTGAACAGCTGAAGGATAAGATGGACATGTGTGACAATCATGAGAAAAAGAATATAGCTCTCACAAATCAGATTGAAACACTGAAAGAAGTGGTGAACATAACAAAGGATCTCCTTAATATCCGTGACATGGAAGTACACCATCTACAAAGTGATGTGGAGTCAATGGAAGGAAAAATTGCAGAAGAAAGGCAAAGGCACAATTCAATGATTACAAAAATGGAAGAAGCGGTGAAATTGAATTCAGATTTAAAAGAAGAGTATCAGAATCAGCTGAAGATTTTCCAAGAACTGAAAGGGAGATATGAAGAGAAAGTGACATTACTGACAAAGGAGAATGAGAAACTTGAGGAGGAAGTTTCATTGTCAAGATCTGTGCCACATACTGCACAAAGTAATCAACAAGTAATTACAGATAGCCTTGTGAGTGCAGAAACAGGTACACAGTAAATCTTTTCAAATTGTTTCCTAATGCTTGTAAAATGAAACTTATAATGGCGCATAACACTTGGATTTCATAGGATGTCTTGTTGAAGCACAATATTAAACATTAACACCAATATACTCATAAAACATGAATTCTTAACTCATAAAAAGAATTGTTTTATATGCTTTTAAATTCTCTGACCATAACAGAGTTTTCTTATAGATTACCATTAGTCCCCTTTTCATAACAAATCTCAGAGTTTGTCCTATTTATTCAGAGATACAAAATCATGTGGTTTCAGTGCTAATTGCAGATTATAAGTTTTTTCATCCACAGCTCTAATGTATGCAATGAATAGGTCTCAAATCATGATTAAACTTTTTTCACTACCAATAGAATAATTTACTCCATACATAGAGTGGAACATATTACAGAAATAATTAGCTTAATAAATTTGATAAATTATGTATATGAAAGATTCAAATATGGATGAAGACTATATTTATTGGTCTCCTAGAGAAAGAGATGTATATGATGTGTATGTTATAATATTCAACTGAAACAATGATGTGTCCACAAAAGGACAAGTAGAGTTATGGGACCATACTTCAAATGAATGCCAATACTGGTCAGCAATGAATTTTAAATAATTAAATATTAGGGATGTCAATAAAGTGTATATGTAATCAGCAGTAGTTGCTTGAAGTGATCAAGCAAGCTTATAAAGTAAAAAGCAACCTGTGATTATCAACAATAAAGAATTCCGACAGCACATGCTATTTCCCTCTCATAATTGGAAAAGCCTTCAACTACAAATTACATGAATAACCTTGTATCCTTGCTTATTCACCACTTACAATTGGCAGTGAAACTGATTTGTAACGGTTTTGGAAACATGTCCAATAAGCTAGCTCTTTTTCAGGAACTTCTTCAGTATCAATGTTGAAATAGCAAGATAATTAAGGAAGTTCCTTAATATTTTGCAACATTAATTCTCCTGTGAAAGCCCACAAAAATTTATACATAGCTTCAGAGTTGCATACCCTGCTGTCTTTGCTTGTAACTGATGGAATTACATTTACATAACTCCCTTACTACTCTGGCTTTATGATACTGCCATTATTATTACTTCTTAGTACAGGAATGAAACTAAAATAGCCTTTTGAAGAAACTTAGAGTAATTTCACTTTAAGATTCTACTATGATGAAGGGAAGTTAAATGCACTGGCATTTTACACTATTTTATTTACATATTAATTAGAGATAATTGTTTTCAAATTTGCCAAAGGTCACCCTCTGTTTCAAAACATGGAACTGTGAATCAATTCAGTTGAAACAGGAGATATCCAAATAGCTATTTGTCATGAAATGTAAAAGTAAAATGCATGGCTTCGCAGAAAAGTAGCATTCATAGTATATCACTAGTTACTGGTTTTGTAGCCATGTGTGAATTTATAGGTATCTGTGGTAAACACAGGAGTAGAGTTCCATGCAGCTGAGGAGGCCTCAAGTTCCAAAATTACCAAGAGAAAATTATTTGAACTTTCTGTTGAATTCAAACAGAAAACGGAATAATTGTTATAACTTACCAACTTCTCGGTTTCATTATAAATTATTTAACATTGCCATTCCAAGTAGGCATAATTACTCTGCCTCTGAAATCAAAATAACATCCTAAAAGCTTGCCAAGTGCAACAAGGGAGAAAAATCTTCTGGTTCTGACTTGAATGGGTTACTGCCAACATGTGCCTGTCCTCAGGATGATGACTGTGCTCATTAGTGAAGTCAGCTGAAGTGACTTCAACTCTGAAGATGGGGATAACATATTACTCACAAAAGTACATGGTGTCATAACCCAGAGGATCAGAATCGTAAATTGCATATTAGCTGTTATACTTTCCCACAATGTTCTTTCAATAAAAACCTATAAAACATCCTTCATTTAGGTCCCCTTTATACATTTTCCAACCTTTTACAGTACATCTATTGATATTTAAATCCAATTATTATTTTCATGTCTAAACATTTTTATTTACAAGGTTGTACTGAAACTGGTGGTATGTGAGCTGCACATGGCCTACCAATTGCTTCTATGTGGCCTACAGGTGTGTCGTTCCATTACCCAGAATATGTGTTAATGGATTTCTGTCCTTTAAAAGGTACAGCACAACTTCTTAAGAGACCTTACAACAAGCGTAATTTTCAACTGGTTTCGTATGATAGCCAACAAATAAATTAGAAAAATACTGAATCGGTGTAAGACCCAATATCATATGTAGCACTGATACAACATAGCAAACCCTTAGCAAGAGATTTTGAAGCATAGTAAGCCTGGAAAAAAATTTTAATAAACGTTTTTGGATTTTATGGGTGAAATTCATATTTGTATGCTTCTGCTTCATTGGAGGGCAGATATTTGTATTGGTATACTGGAAAAATAAAAATATTTCTTGTAATACTTGTATATTAAAGTTCAAGAGATGTCATAGTTCTTTCATTGAACATTCCTAACTAAAGATTACGCACAAAGAGATGCAAAATAATTTAAATTGTCAGACATTAAAGTAACTGTAATTCACTTACCTTGCAAGATCTCTGTGTGAACATGTTATGAAATTTGTATACAGTGTGATAATTCTGGTGGGTTTGCTCACTTTTCTTTAATCTTAAAAAACCTATGACTTGTGAGAAAAAGTGCATTTTTAACTGTGATAAATATTTAGCCAGCTGGTCTTGAGATGTGAAAGGCATTTAAACTGTAATATATTTTTATCTGATATTAACCAAAATTGAAACATGTTAACAAATTTTACTAACACGCCCCCAACATCCAACTTCATTAAGTCTGTCTTCTTGAGTTACAGAGACAAACAGGGAAACTAACAACCACATTTTTTAACTTTTTCCTGTCAACACACTGAAAAGTAGTAATGCTCAGCACCACCTTAGTTGCTAAGAGGAAAACAAAAGACAGAAAACTCACCAACTCTACAATGGCAATGTTTCCAACAACAGTAAAGTGTATATAGTCACTAATGCTAAATACAACTAGTGTATTGGTTGTGAGTCTGCAGACTGACAGGAAGCACTGCCTTCCTATGCCACGAACCCAGCAACAGAAGAAACTGAACGATTAACACCAAGCTCAACAAAAGCATGTATGTACTCATACAATATATAGTTCAACTTAATTATGTAACACTACAGTTCTCACAGCCATCTTTAATATCATATAGTGGGGAAGGAAAAATCCAAATGCTCCTGCTGAGAATAACTCTGGACATCTATTCTGTAGCCACTTAACAGACTGAGCTGTGATTATGCATTACAGAATTATACTAATTTCTCACTTCTTACCCTATCTGAAAGTTAAGCTGATGGAAGTTAGTTTCTTACAAATATTACATCGGTTCTATGGGTAAGGGAAAACTACTGGGAAAAAAAGAAATATTAGTCAAAATTTCAAACACTGTACAGAATTTTATTATAAAAATTCTCATTGTTAAGAAACCATACCATTTTTATCTTTTGAAGTACTTTTACAACATTTTTGTACATTATTTATATTTCTATTAATTTACACATTTTCTCCTACTTGCCCATCCTCAAGTTAAAAAATATTCTCCGTTAACAAGTGTGAACAACGGTGACTGCAACATGGGGATGAACAAATGAAAGATTTGTGCTTTGTGAGATGATGTAGAAAATGTTTCATGCTATGTTCCTTTTAAAAATGTGGGCAGCATCTTAACTAGGATATAAAAGGATTGATAAAGAGGGGTTTTATAAATAGATGCACAAAAATGGCATTATGATCCTAAATCATACAACAGATCTAGACTCAAATTCTATTACATGTACCATCTTCTAATATGATAGAGATGAAAGAAGATGAAGAAGCATTCATGTTTTAAATACAAGAAGCATAGATTAAAGAAACAAGTTTAAGGTTATATACCATATAAAATAGATAATTATTGGGAAACAGTAGTCTTGGTGCTTGGAAGTCAGTCAGAAGTTTATACTTCATCACATTAATAAAAGATTCATTCGACTTAAAATACCGAAAAATTTAGAGAAAGAAAGAGAGTATGGATCATAAAAAAATGTATGCAGTTTTGTGAAATACTTATGTGACAATTTTAATCTTGCAAGTATGTTCATTTTTGGCTGTATTTTCTGGAAGACAAAGGACATGTTCAACAGTAATATCTTTTGCCTGTGTGGTGTCTGCTACTTATCCAATGGAGGGGACATTCTTGAAGCAGAACTTTTCAGGTAAGAGCCAAAGCAATATATTCCAAAATTAGATTCTGGAAGACTATGCAGAATATAAAATATTAACATTGATTTCATAATTTGACAGAGCAGAGCATACTGCATCACAATGGAAAATGAGGCAACAAATTAAATAAGCAATGAGAAAATAAATAAATAGCATCACATTCCACTGTACTACACATTTCCCAAATTATGACTGCTGAACTATGTTTTGCTATATGATAATGTATGTCAGCTTCTATCACACAAGAGTGATGCAGATATCTTCTTAACTGATGGATGTTATTGGAACAGTGAATAACCAGCATTATAATAAGGTATTTTTAGTGAATGCTGTATATCAAGTATTGTATCAAAGATCAGATTAAATCATACAGGCCAAATTTTTAATATATGTACATGCATATACATATCCATGCTACAGAACTGTAAAAGAGGTGATTTAATCTTCAAAGGTATGAAACAGGTCACAATATATATTGGTTAAACATGAAGAATATTTATTGTTACCAGTACACTCAAGTTCACCCTGAGTGGTATTTTGAAAATCAGAATAACTTTCTTTGCAGAAATAATTATTGTTCTTTCACATTTTCCCTTTAATTTCAGGCGATAAGTTTATTTGGTATGCAGTTTCTAAAGGTATATATCTGGAATTTTATAAAGTAATATTTTCTTCTTAGTATTTAAGAAATAAGATCTTGTCACCTATATTTCTAGGTAACATATATCAAATTTTCCTCTCTCTTATGTAGAAAATAAAGGATATTCCTTTATAGTTGAGCAGACATGGGGTATGAGGGACATAAAATCTCGCTTTTAAAACACTCTGTATACAATTTTGAAAATATCGTTACTGTCTCACTACTCACTATCTCCTATATACAGAGGGTTTTGTAAACAGCAACTTAATGAAGCGAACATTGCATTGTGTTGAATCAATTTCACAGGAGTGTCCAACTTCTCTGCCTGAGGGAGCACTTGAAAAAATAATATTATTTAAGTGTCCAATATTTCTTATGAAAAAACTGAATAAAATATGTTGGTTCTTTCCATCTTTCCCAACATGCCACTAAGAAGATCTGAAATGACAATGTATCCAGAGACTTACTCATGGATCTGGATGCATGCTCAACAGTTATTATTTATGAGCACCAACTCATGGTCTTTACATTATAAATTGAGTTTTTGATCTTAATTCAATTTATAAATGCTCACAGATGCATGGTGTATGGAAAACAGAAAACTGCAAATTGTATACACAGACTTAAAGGATTCTGATGATGGTGTATACTGAACTTCGTCCATCATCTGGTATGTAAAAGACAAAAGACCACGGCGTTTCAGAGACTGGATCTGTCTCCGTCTTCAAGTGGGTGGAGAAGGATAAATCTACTCAGTTGGGCCCGTTAGGAAGAGCTAGTCTCAATCACTGGACAAACCCCAGTCTGTAGAGAACCTATGAACCCCTGACAACCGGTTCCATCAGTGGGAG